CATGAGTTTAGAAGGGTAAGGCAGACCCTCTAAGTGGATATCAGTATTTATAGTCATTAAAAATAAATACCCTGAGGAGTTGTGGGGGGTGGGAAGAGAATGCTACACAAAGATGGAGTAGGGGTTCAAGAGACAGGTGTCCAGTACTGAGGGTTCTATGATCTAAGTGGTTGTTTCACCCCTAGAGTTCACGGTGAAATTCAACATCCCCCTTCCCTACTGCGGTATCAAGAAGCGAGGCCGCCATGCTGATGAGACCTTATGTGTATAGCTTCTCTGAACAACACCGGTGGAAAAGACAGGCAAACATGAGAAATGGTCTCAACCTCAGACAAAGAGCTACAGGGAACTAAGGAATGCTGAGGACGGGAGAAATAGTTTTCCCCAGGGAAAAGTCTCACAAGTGGTCAGCCCTGAAATCATATGCATATAAATAGCTTTGTATAGACTGAGAAGGTGTATGTATATACTTGGGAATACACACACACACACACACACACACACACACACCAACAACTAAAAAAAAATAGAGTCCATGAATTTGAGAGCAAGACAGGATACATGGGAAGTCTTGAAGGGAGGAAAGAGAAGGGGTAAAATTTAAGCAATTATTTTTTTTTAAGTTTTAAAAGAGACAAAGTCTTTTGATAAAATGATTACAACATAGATTTCTCCTTCATGAACTGATTTTCTCACACCAAGGCAAGAGGGAGCAAGATGGGGCTGTTTTGCCCTTCTCCATCTCCCACTGCAAGTAGATCTAGGTGATACAGTGACCACCGGGAGAGGAGCAACATCCTATTTGCAGTACCATTTTGGAGTCAGAGCCTGAAGCCCTCATCACCTGCTAGCACCTTGATCATAGGTTTCCCACCCTCTCTATTTTGTAATTAGCTCAGTCTGTGGAGCTTTGTGTACAGCGGCACACACACATAGTGTTGTGCCCACTGGTATAATAAGGGCAAGACAATTATGCACGTTACCAAGTTCTCTCTTGATTGTACTTGAGCCCAACCCCAGAGGAGGGACTTCCTGTCTGTTGCTGTAACATAGCCAAACGTGTGACTAGGGAACTATTAGGCCCGAGGTGAGAATCCGTTGGTGGTGATTTTCTAAATGATCATATTGTCATTTATGTCTATATCCACAGAGTTGTGCTGTTTCCAGCCTCATCAGAGAATGTCTTACGGTGGTGAGTAGTGGCTAATGCAATGATGATTGTTATTAATATCCAGGGTGCTGATGTAATCAACTGTGCTGAGTCATAGATAATATACCTATGTTAACTACTACTGCCACCCCAAGGCTCAGGCAGCATCACGGCAGAGGGGGCAGAAAGAATGTAAGAACTGGGGAAGGTGACAAGAAGAGCTCTGAAACTCTGTCCTCTGGGTGTGGCGTTTCTGTGTGAGTTTCACACAGGAACTCACAGTATCCGGGGTTACCTGCACAAAATCAAGCCCATTAAAAATGCCAGCATGGAGGAGAGAGGGCTTGCTGAGGCTCTACCCCAGCTGAGGTAGCTGAAGGCAGCTGGGAAAAATACAATCACTTTTCTTTGCCTGTGTGGACACTGGTTGTTGCCCCAGGCCCCAGTGGGTGAGCCCACACCTGTAAGCATAGGACGGTACTGCTTGGTTTCAGCAGGTTAAATATATCGAGAGACACACAGTTGGGAAGAGATGTGATGGCCTGGTCCTCGGGAACTGGAATGGGGAGTGAAGAGTAGTTATGATCAAGGGTATCATATTCGTGGTTGGAGTTTTCAAAGAATACATTTTTTTAAAGTGAGAATTAGCAAAACATGTATTAGCTAATGGAGGACTCTGTAAAGGCAATATGGAAGAGAAAGCTGCAAATGAATAGTTACTTCAATTTAGAAGGTGATTCCTTCTACAGACAATATACTCTCCGACTTCCTTAGAGAAGACCTCATTACCTAGGCCCGGTAGAGTGAGCTTAACAAACAACCATGTCAGAATATAATACAGTAGCATGTACCATGTACAATATATACAAGAAAGCAGGAGGCATTGGGAAGGAAAGTCAACCCGCAAGAGAAAGCAATCTTACAGCCTTTTGTACACTTGCATCTTATACCTACTGTGCCAAATCACTCTCTCTACTCTTTCCACTGTTAAAATTCTAGTTTGTGCTGATGCCATTGTATTGCATTTTGCATTTCTAAAGTTTTTTCCTTGGTCATCTCCATTAAATTACTATAGTCATTTATCTTCATAATAACCATATTTAAGAGAGGGGGAATTTAACCTAGACCATGACATACAATACCAGCAGTACCTTGAGCAGGTTGCTTAACGTGAGATCCTCATGCTCTCTGACTCCCACTTTATATTCCACCCCTCCCCCACTACACTGATATTTGAAAATTAATGAAATAATTTTAAGTTTCCCATAGTGATGGATGCATCTAAACCTTGCTTCGTGTCCTTGATTTGGAAGGCTAAGAATAATATCCATAAGTTGATGGAAATTCAACAACAGAAAATGGCATTCTAGAGGGAAGAATGCCTTTTAAAGCCCTGAGTCCTCCGTTCCTGGCATGCCGCAGTTACCCAGTGAAAGCAGGGACTTCAAATGGGTTGGATGGGCCGATTATTGCTGGAATGTTCACAGATTAGTTATATCCAGTGTTCTCTACAACACTTTCTTGTATCCTTCCATAGGGTTGAGTAAGCCAGGCAAGGAGCAGGTTGATCCAAACTCTCCAACTCTTCCTCAATGTCATGAATTTTCTAAAACCCCAATGCATTCCTACCTGGCAGTCTTTGGGCTGTTTGTATTTTGAGACAGGGTCTCAGACTGACTTCAGACTCATGTATGATCCTCCTGCCTCAGCGAGTGCTGGTGCTACAGGAGTAGGCTACCATATCTGGCTCCTCCCTGGCAGTCTGAGCTTTCATTTTTTTAAAAATCTCAATGAATATACAGCAAATATTGAATTCTTGCTGCAGGTCTGCTGTTATTTCACTTCCTACAAATGCTAGTGCCATCTAATGTTTGCAAAGGTTTTGTATAATAAAATCATAGCAGAGAATTCCAATCCACCCTTACACATACTCTAGGTGCAAAAACAGCCTGGATTAAAACTACATAGATGACAATATCCGAACAGGAATCCTCAAGTATGGCCCAGGAAAATGAATAAGACATTGTCACCCCTACACTCCTGATCCATCTATCTCTATTTCTTTATTATTTGAGATGTGTTACTTCATCTGTCTGGGCCGAAGGACCCTGTTTCTGCTCTAGGTGAGCTGGCTCTTTAATTTGGATCATTAAGTTCCTTTAGACTTCAGTGTTCTGTGGTTTTACAAGTTTCCTTACAGATTCTCGGGCTCTATTCTTTGGCATCCCGCCTCCTCTGTCCCTGCCTTGTCTCATGGCCTGTCAGTTGTACAACAATAAATAACTGGTTGGTTGCAAGAGAAGCATGTGTTGGATCAAGCTGATGTGTCTGCTCTCTGGCCCCCAGAGAGGACAGAGAAGGCTTTGATGTCTGAATGAGTTCCATGTTTTGACCTAGGGACCTCCCAATTCCACGTAGACACCCTTGCCAAGTATATGAAACAATTATTTACAATTAAAAAAGCATTCCATACCTCTTTCAAAACTGCCACGACTGCTTTATTTTTAAAGCGGGGGGAGTGTAAGCCCACATATTCCATTTCTAATCCTGAGACATAGAAGGGGGAAAGGGGGGCTGTATTGGGACATATTCTTCATATACAGATGCTGTTTAAAGACAGGAAAGGAACATGCTGAGTGAGCTGATTTACATGTTAATGTGGAGCTAAATGGACCCTTGTTAGCACATGGAAGAAGACGCCATGCAAGACTAAAAACACTCACAGAGTACTCAGCAGCCTGCTCAAACCAAGACCCCAGCCATGCCTGCATACGAGCTTTATGGTGGCCCATGAGAGTGGATGTCTACAGGATACAGAATAATCTTTGTCTCATGAGATTTATTGCTTTTCTTCCCTAATATTATGTCAATGATTTCCATAGATCTGCCTTCTTCCACATCCTCCTTACTCCTTCATAGAAGACTAGCAGTTTTCTCTGCAACTCTAATCTTGACAAATACATCACTTCCTTACAGATTCTCAGGCCCTATTGTTTGGCATCAAGCCTCCCCCTCATGCTAAAGAGTTGGGATATGCTACAGAATATTTCCTCAATCAGTTCACTCAGCATATCAAAGGCTTTGCAAGGTCTTGCTCAGGGTAAAGGTTCTCACTGCCAGGGCTTAGATGTGATTTATCTTTCAAGGGATCATGTACTACGAGACCATCGGCATGATGGTACATACCTATTATCACAATACTTGGAAGGCTAGGATAAGAAAACTGCCTTAAGTTCAGGGCCAACTTGGGCTACACAGTGAATTCCAGGCCAATCTGAGCAATAGTGTGAGACCCTGAAAAAAAGCAAAAACAAAACAACAAGATAAAAAAAAAACAATACGTGGAAATTAGGAAAGAAAGGTTAAAATGGTAGAACTTCTATGAGAAGGATCTTCATCGAAGGAAATTCAACCTGGGTCATCATTCTCAGAAGAAATTAGTATAGTCCTTTTAGAACCCTGATTACTTGCCACAAGGGTGGTTTAGTGCAAGATCAGCTGAGTTCTACAAACCCTCTCTTTCCTGTTTCACTGTTTGCTCTCTCTCTCTCTCTCTCTCTCTCTCTCTCTCTCTCTCTCTGTGTGTGTGTATGTGTGTGTGTGTGTGTGTCTTGCTCTCTCTCTCTTTCTGTCATGCAACCAAAAACCTATCCACTGAGCCACCGTGTGCGTGCTGGGAATCGAACCTGGGTCCTAAGGAAGAGCAGTCAATGCTCTTGACTGTTGAGCCATTGTAGACGGAAGTTTCTGTCCTACCTGGTCCTGCAGCCATTCAGTACCAAAGAAACACACAGAGGCGGAAGGGCGGGGCCGCTGCGGGGGCGGAGCATCACAGGTACCTGGTGAGCGCTCTGCTCTGCTGACAGAATGGCGGGCAGGGGTAAACTAACCGCGGTGATTGGAGACGAGGACAAGGTGACGGGTTTCCTGCTGGGCGGCATAGGGGAGCTTAACAAGAACTGCCACCCTAATTTCCTGGTAGTGGAGAAGGATACTACCATCAATGAGATCGAAGACACTTTCAGGCAGTTTCTAAACAGGGATGACATTGGCATCATTCTCATCAACCAGTACATCTCAGAGATGGTTCGGCATGCCCTTGACGCCCACCAGCGCTCCATCCCGGCTGTCCTGGAGATCCCATCCAAGGAGCATCCTTATGATGCAGCCAAGGACTCCATCCTGCGCAGGGCCAAGGGCATGTTCACGGCCGAAGACCTGCGCTAGGGCTCCTCAGCCGCCAGCCCCCTCTCACTACCAGGCCTCTCTCAGTTTGCCATCCTCTATTTAAGTTTCAAGCCTTGGTTTCCGGCCCCTCCCTTCCTCTTCACTGAGTGGCTCCTAAGCTGTTGGGTTCTGCTGTTCAGATCCAGGCTGGTTAGGGAGAGAAAGCCCAGTCATCTTCTCTCCCCACCCCTTCCTCCCTGTGCTGTTACACAGTGTCATTATTGATATTTAAAGAATATTCTCTCCAAAAAAAGAAAGAAAGAAAGAAACACACAGAGGCTTATATTAGTTATAAACTGTTTGACCTATTGCTCAGGCTTATTATTAATTAGCTCTTACAATTTAAATTAACCCATAATTCTTGCCTTTGTTTAGCCATGTGGCTTGGTACCTTTTCTCGGTGAGGCATTCTCATCTTGTTTCCTCTGTGTCTGACTGGTGACTGACTCTCTGCCTTTCCTCTTCCCAGAATTATCTTAGCCTGGTTGACCTGTCTATACTTTCTGCCTGGCTACTGGTCAGTGAGAGTTTTTATTAAACCAATATGAGTGAGAAATCTTTGCAGAGTACAAAAGCATTATCCCACAGCAAGCCATCTCTATAGCACCCAGAAAATAGATTAATACAGCCAGAAGCAGCAAAACTTTTGGAACCCAAGGTTCATCTGATGCCATCTCATGTTCCCTAGTCTCAGACATCCATCCTGATTTCTTTTGCCCTTCATCACAATCACCAGTTAATCATCCATTCTCCTCCTCTGAAGGACAATAGCTCTTTATTGCATTCGCTTCTAACTTGCAGTTCTACTTTAATGTTAGAGATGCATACAGGTGTGCTTTATTATTATTTTGAATCTTGTCTGTTTTAATTTTATGTATTCTGATATGAACAAAATCCTGGTTCCCCAGTCTTCATCTAACATACACCTGTTACAAGAGAGTAACCTATAGGTATTTGATGTATGATTCAAACAGGTTAAGAACTAGCAACTTTCAAATGTCTGCACCATCATATGCAAAAACAACAGAATTTTCAGTCATTTTTTTTTAGTCCGATGCTCAAAGCTAGAGTTTAGAAAGTAAAAATAGGAGACGTGAACACACCATTTGTCTCTGCATTTGTCTTTGCTAACTAGACAATTCCAGAGAAACTGCATAGCATCACCCTTTCATCCTCACATCTGGAACTGGGTTTCAGACATTTATGCAACTCATTTACTGCAATTAAATTTGACTTCATTGGAAAATATCAGTTTCAAGGAAGTTTCTATAGTGTGATCATATGGCTATGATGAATAGCATTTGTAGGCCCAATGTGGTGTTATAGGGTCTGATGCTAAAAATTTACTGCCTAAAATGATTATTCTGTTCATTGAATATTCTAATTATGTTTTAAGCTTACAAAATAAAAGTTATAAACAGATGATTACTTTTCAAAGTATTTTAATCCCATAAAATGTCACTAATATCAGTTTTCTTCATGGACAAGTTCTCAGATAGGTTATCCAATCCAACATAGCCATCCCTAAACATATGTACATATTAGCCATGTCAAATGGTGATTTGTGTGTATGTGCGTGAGTGTACAACTACAGAAGAAGAGGCCATTTATTTGAGGGAGAGCATGGGAGGATCTGGGGAGAAAGAGGGACAGAAATAATGTGAGTACAGTATTCAGGTGAAATTCTCTTTTAAAAGTGTAAATATAACTAATATTAACACTAGGGTGCTGAAAGAAATTAGGTCTGGTTTTGAACGCCATGACAAACAAGTATAACAATAAATGTTCAATATTAAGTCCTCTGGGCATAGAAGAAGGAAAAAAATAAAGTACTTGTTATCAGTAAGGATTTGAATCAACCAGTAAATATTCATGTATCGGTCTCTTCTTTGTATTTAATTCCTGGACATGAATTATAATTTATAATTATATAATAATTCCTGGACAAGAAGATAATATGTCAAGTGGAAGCTTATGTAAATTACAAATGTAGTTAGCAGTAGAAACAGAGCAAAAAGTTTAAAGATACCTTTGTTCTACCCACATCCCCACAGTTTCTGCAATAGTTTCTCCCTCTAGTCCAGGCTCTGGAGGGCCACGCTTGTATCTTTCCTAGGGTCTGGTGCCAGTTAGGAGTTGACATGAGAAGAGACCAACCCGGAGATGTGCCTGATAAAAACCAGCAATGAAATTCCTGCACGGAAAGAATACACGTTGGATTTGAGAACAAGTTGATTTTAAAATCAACCTGAGGAATCCCAGACCTCTTTCCTGTGTACCATTCTGACTTGATTCATCCTTCTTCAACTACAGAATTCTCCTCTAACCCAGAGAAGAGCCTTAGGAGAGGTCTTGCTAGAGACAAAAAGGCTCAAGTCTTCAGGCACCATGAAACTGCCGATTCTCAAAGGGAATCATCTTTATGATGTAATTATGAACTCCTACGTAAAAGTCCTAGGAACAGAAACAATGATTGACAAATGAATGGAGTTCAAGTTTTTAACCACAGTGCCTCCCTTTGCCTTTGACCTTAAATATAAAAGTGGACCTGGTTCTTTTTATCCAGTCATCTAAACGTTCTCTTTCTATCAGAGATAAATTTGATATCAGTGATATATTTGTGTAGATATGTCATATGAAACTAACAAGTAAGTAAATCTAAAACACTCAAATTTCTTTGAAAGCCTGAAGGAAGTCAGTTGACAGATTTTCTTAGGAAGGAGCAGAGAGCAGGAAGTTTGAAGGCATTGTTAGCTTCTCAGGAAGATTGCCTAGGAGAGATAAGTTGGGGTGGAATCTGCCCTGGTCTATATATATGTGACTATACCTGGGTGGTGAAGGACAAACATAGATTCTAGTAGAAAATAAATGAAAACTGAAGAAGTTGTTAGATGCTCTGGATGAGGTTTATAAAAATCCCCCAAATCTACACAGTCAGACTTAGTCACCAGCTACTAGCACTGTGCACACAATTATTTCCACTACAAGTCAGACAAACTTGGCGTCTCCACTTTCTCAGCCTTTCCCATGATGCTACAATGTTAAATATACTGTGAATGTGTTCTAAAATGTTGCCGAATACCAACTGTTTAGCTTTCCCCACTGTAGCCAAATTTTACTTGCATGAAATCATTTAGAGAGAGAAGAGGAAGGTTGCAAACCTGGAGGTGATAAGATCTGGTCCCTAACCCTGGGGACCCCAAGGACTCATATCCGAGTCAAGGGAAGAAAGAGGGACTCTATGAGACATAGTGACTGACAGTTTGGGTGAGAAAATATGGCACAAAGCGTGGGAGCAGGGCCCTCTCCCTTCTGCGTGAGGCACCCCTTCAGCACTGAGAAAATATTAGGAAGAGTGCAGGCAGGGGCACCCTCTGTAGCCCAGCAGAATTCCAAACAAAGAGAACAGATTGATTTTGATTAGTGTTCTGTGACCTCAAAGGTATACACATAGTGATGCAAACATGTATGGGTGAGGGCTGAAAGGAAATCACCAAAGTGGGAACAGTGATTATTTATGGCAGTAAGATGAACTGTGTTTTATGTAATTTCATAGGATATTATCTATTTTCCAAATGTCGTATAGTGAATATGTATGACATTTAGAAACATGAAAACTTTTTTTTTCAGAGACAAGGAGTTTGTACTCACCCTGTCGCTGATTTGCTCTGGACAGCATGGATCCTCCGTGGAAATGTTGATTGTGTACTGTATCTAGAAGTGCACTTGATGATCACCAGACCAAAATGAAACACTGAAACGAAACCTGTTTTTAATTAGCAACTAAAGGGTCTTGTTTCTTGTTGCCAAGCCTGAGGACCAGAGTTAAATCTCTGGGACCTACAGTGTGGATGAACAGATCTCCATACATACACCCAAGCATGCTCCCATGGGTGACACACACACACACGCATGCAACACACACACACAATCAACATGCAGGCACAGACATGTGTGCATACATATCTGAAAAAATAAAAATAGAATAAATAAATTTTAAAAGCAGAAGAGAAGATGAGTTGACAAATTTCTCTGTTACTGGTATATAATTACAACTTTTACCTTTTGTTCTTTCCAAAAACGTCAGTTTTGCCAGAAATGACAGAGAAGACCATAATTATCACTCTCTGGGACTAATCATTAAAATTGGTGCGGTATTTTCCTAGAATATCAATTCTAACTCAATAAGTAGATAATTGATCAACTCTCCAGGCAGTTTGGGGGTTTTCAAATATTACACATGTTATGCTGGTGTCTCTAGAGAGGGATGAAATGGTTTACACGTGTAGCATGCTGTGTATCTTGCTGTCACTTATGTGTACTCTCTACTTCATCTGCAAGAGGTTCCCTTGAGACACATGGCCTTCAACAATTTAATTTAATCCCCATGTAAACCTGTACCTTAATCACATATATTTAATTGACTGTCCTAGAGAACTATAACTCAACCTAGTATCTGAAATGTAATCTAGTCCCCCTCAGTTGGACCCAATTACAGTAAGAAAAGGATTCATTTTTCTAAAAACAATACAGGAAGATGATATTCAAACACAGGTGCCCTGTGGGCCTCAGGGTCAGACAAATGACTAAGGCATGGAGACACACAAACTCTGAGGGGCCGGGCTTGGACGTAGGTGAAAATGAAAGCATGGCAGAGGATGTCAAATGCCAGCATTCCTAGAAATAAGAGTCTGCAAATGCATGATGCTAGGAAGGAAGATGGAGACCTAGAAAAGTGCTGCCCCCAGGGCATCACTAAGCCAAATATGTTTTGGTGAGTGTGATGTTAACAGCAACGGTGCTTTGTATCACTACTCCCATAGAATAAATTACAGATGTTGGTTTCATTGAATCATAACAACAGTTCATTCAAAGGACATTCAGAATTTTGATAAGTTTTCCTACTCATCCACTCTCCCACCAAAGTGACCCCAATCTAAAGATCAGGGAAGGCTTTAGAAGTTGAATGATTTCATCATGATGATGCCATAAAAGTCTCCATCATAGACATTTGTATAAAGGCATGCATGGTTTTTACCTGGAAACCTGGTACTTGGCATGTATTTATACCATTCAGAACTGATTGATTAAGAGGTAACCACTGAATTGAAGAAGTTCGAATTTCTTAGGTCAAGTTCACTGGGAATCTCTGAAACTTAAGAGAATTAACTACATCCTTGCTTTAGGTCCATGTTTTTCTTTCTGATGCCCTCTGTCCAGGTGGCCTGCGAAATCTAAGAGGAAAATTTTGCAAGACCCCCTCCATCATAGAAAGTCTCGACACTGAAAATACAGACAACTAACTCTCTAGTCAGTTATGTTCCTGTTTGATCTCAGTCTGCCCAGGGAAGCAGGCAAAGCCAGCTGGGAGACAGGGAACAGAGCAGCGAGCGTCTCCTCCTTGGTGGAGAAAAACCAACTGAGATTGTGAATATACTTGTCTCATCAAATTAATGGCTCTGCCTGAGTAATGACCCAGCAATCTTGTAAAAATGAATTCACTTTCCCCATTATAAACATTATCCAACCAAAGATAAAGCCCATCAGAGTTTGTCAAATCTCAAAGGAGGATGGGAAAGGCAGTCATGAGTCACTGTAATTCTCCATCAGCACTACCTCCCCAGGCTTTCTCACGGTTTCCATTTGCAAAGCACTGTTCTTTAATTTCATTGCCTGGAAGGAGAGTGGGAACAGAAAGTAAGTGCCTTGAGGGTTTGTTCTGTTTTCTAAGAAAGAGATAGGGAGGGAGAGAAGCAGAGAAACAGAGAGAGTCAAGTGACATAGAGAGAGGCAGGCACAGAGAGAGAGAGAGAGAGAGAGAGAGAGAGAAAGAGAGAAAGAGAGAAAGAGAGAGAGAGAGAACCCTGAACAGTTTTGCTTTCAAAGGAAGTAAATAAAGCGAAAAGATTACTAAATACATCTGGAAAGTAGGAAAATCTAAATCCTACCTTTAAGGCAAAATGAGTTGAAGTAAAATAGTACATTGTTTTCAAAGTGATTTTGACCCATATTATCAAGATAATCCAAGAAACATCTGTAAAACTTGTTCCTTGAGAAAATATATTTTCACTTTTAATTTATAGCACTTGCCAGTTAGGGTGATAAAATTATCATCACATTTCCTAGTGTTCTTCTGGAAGTCCTTAGATAGAAAGTCAAGTTTAAGGCATAGAGAACACAGCCTGAGGCAGATGGAATGGACGCCGAAGCGCAGCTCTGTGTGTATCTTTGAGTGGGTTAATTCATCTCTCTGAGCTTTGTCTTCATCACCACTAATCAAATCTTTCTAAGGCCATGACCCCTTAAAACAGTTCCTTATGCTATGGTGACTCCCAACCGTAGAATTGTTTTCGTTGCTACTTCATAACTGTAATTTCGCTACTCTTATGGATCGTAATGTAAGTATCTGATATGTAGGATATCTGATAAACTACCCTTGTGAAAGGGTCATTCGACCCCCAAAGAGGCTGAGACAGGAGGGTCATGGGTTCCAGACCATCGTGGGCTGTACAGTAAAACCCTGTCTCAAAGAAAGAATGGAGGACTGTGACACTTAAATTGAGATCCACTGCCTTAATAGAGTACAGCCAACTACTGTGAAGAAGACCCCAAGGCCTTCAACCTGCACATCTGCTGTCTCCCCCTTTCCAGAAAAAGTTTGTGAGCACCTGGTACAGTGACACACAGCTGTGATCACACACTGGAGCCTGGTACAGTAGCACACAGCTGTGATCACACACTATAACCTGGTACAGTGACGCACGGCTGTGACCACACACTAGAGCCTGGTACAGTGACACACATCTGTGATTACACACTAGGGAGGCTGAGACAGGAGGGTCACAGGTGCCAGACCATTGTGGGCTGTACAGTAAAACTCTGTCTCAAAGAAACAAAGAATGAAGTAAGTTTGCCAATTTCCGCAGTAAAGAATTTTTTGAAAGTATTGATATTATGATTACTCTTGTTTTTATGCACAGTGACTTAGAATCACCATGCAAACTGGTGGGGGGGGGACTTTTCATTCTCCATCTCAAATTTCTTCCCAAATTCCTAACTATGCTGATAGAACAATGAGTAACAACAACTTTCAGGAAGAATGTTTGCAGGGAGAGCGGGACTCCCATATATAATATTTTTCACATACGCATTGTCTTCAGGTTGAAAATGAATTTACTAAAAATCATACATCATCAGTGGGCTCATCACAAAAATAGTATCTCAAAAATTATCCTGAAAACCAAACAAAACCATGGCCCAATTATTCTCAACACATCTTGTTCTGTCTGAGCTCAGTTTTCTTTGAAGTTATTGAAAATAGGAAAATAGAGGATCTCCCCAGAGGGGTTCTGCACATGACTCAAAGTTCACCCACAGCCTCTGGGTTCACCCAAATTATCACTGAAGGAATCTGTTAAAGGTGGAAGAGTGCAGACAAACTGGACTCTAAAAGTTAAAGTTTTCCAGAAAGGCACTTACAGTGAGAAAGCACGTCCCTCCACTACGCCCTGACTTGCTTCCCGATAAACTGGAGAAACTTGTACAAGCTGACAAGAGACACTTCAAGGTGTCACTGTGTTCTGTTGGCATCTCCTATCAGAACACACTTTATAGTAAAATGAAAAGGTGAAAGCAAACGATACAGACACCTGGCTGCTTATTTCTGAGGCAGAAACAAGCAACCTGGGAATAAACATTAGACATTTCCTCCGGAGACCTTGGCTGTCCTTTCTTCCCTTTGGCCGAGTCACCTTAGAAATTATTTCATTCAAACAGGAAACCTTTACAAATGTACAACTTTTCCTTCCGGTCATTGAACTTCAGAGACCGAATGCTATGTTGTGAGCTAGCGTCGGAACGAGGAGTCAGAAGCGTTAGAGCTCCTTGCTGTTTTGATTCGTTAACATTTCATTTCTTTCCTGAATGCCTCTGGGATTGAGCGGAAATGTAAGATTTGAGACATGGTGACAAAACTTACAAGGAAAATACATCACCTGAACACAATAAACAGGACCAATGATCCTATAAGGTAATCAAAGTAATCGGGTCGTAAGAATCGTGTTTCCCAGTAACGGGCAGGTAAACACAAAATTCCCGCACTAAAAGAATGCACACTTTCCGGTTATTTATTGACTCTAATTCCATTAACTGTTTTGCAAAGCACATGGTTGACTTAAGGGGATATAGAAATTCAATCAGGGCACACGTGTGGACACACATGATTGCCGTGCTCCCTCCCTGAATCCAACTGGGAGCTTTCTGTACTGAGCAACTTACATTGTCCGAAGATTCTGGTCACGGAGAGGATTAAAGAAAGAGGGAGAAAGTTTCAATGCCAAATGACATAAAATAGGAAAACAGAATGACAACTAAACTGCACCCCAGTGTAGTCTCCGTTCGGGTCCTGGCCTTCCTCGTGCTGCAACTAAGTAGGGCAAGCGAGACAGACGGGATAAAAAACAAAAGCTAGTCCCTCAGTTTCATAAAGCTCCATGTAGCTGGAGAGCAGCGTTCCTAGATGCACTAATGAACAATCATGGCTGCGTCTCAGTGTTGTTTCAGAGGCTGCTCCCATTTTATCACCTGTGGGAAAACGTCTGATTTCTGTTGTGGGGTATCTACCAGAGAAGACGGCTTGGCCACGGGTTTAAGTCAATAGAAAGTCTTTGCCAGCTGTCTGGCGACTACCCTGTGTGTTCAGGATCCCAGCGTCCCCAAGTTTTTCTCAGGATGAGCTTTTAAGACTAAAAAACCATGTCCTGGGTTGACATACTTTGGTTCACAAGAACAGATAGTCGGAAGCTGAACTACAGGAGCCAAAATGCAAGGTTAGTACTTTTAGAGACTTTCCCGGAACTACTTTGATGGAGATTGTTTCCTTGTGACTGGAGGTGCTATCTACATCCTGAGTTTTACACCCTGAGTTTTACAATGGCACTTCTGCCACAGAGTCAGTTGGATGAAGGCCCGGGGGACTACTAAGGTCTGGGGACTTTTACAATTTCACCATCCATGAAGAAGTTGGCTATATAGAAACCACCACGTCTGGTGGGTCATGTCTGTAATCTCAAAATACAGGAAAGGAGGAAAGGAGGAAGGAAGGAAGGAAGGGAGGAAGGAAGGAAGGAAGGAAGGAAGGAAGGAAGGAAGGAAGGAAGGAAGGAAGGAAGAAGGCCTCATGGATTCCTATGAAGTTCTTGTATTCTCTCACCTCTTCAGCTTTGAGCCCCTTGGTTTTCTCAGCTCATCTTCACGGGGTGGGATTTCCCAGGAGGATGGGTGCACACCATTTTTTCTGCCATCTCCTTGACTGCTTCAATTATACAGCACTGGGCAGTTTCTGCAATTCACTCATCACATAGCACCTGCAAACATCAGTGTTCTTCTCCGTCTCCTAAGAAAACAACGCCAGTATTAACACTCATCATTTATATTGCATGATTCATCCTCAGTTCCACTGTGGGCAAATAATTATCGTCAATTTTCACTTGTATGCCTTGTCTAAATGACTCTCTCATATAAGCAGAGCTTCCTGCTTTAGATACCAAAGCTTCATTTTAACCATTTTGTATAAAATCCTTCTAAATATTAAGAACTTGTGTATCACAAAGACAGAGAGTATAGATGCATGTATTCTTAAACGTGACTGCACTAACAAGGTTGTAATGATATCTGTTATCTTTAAATGATATATTATAGTTCTGTTGCTTTGAGTCTAGAAAATCCTCCCCCATTCTTATCTGTGGTCACTGCTGTCTCTTGATCCTATTACTATAGCAGGTTCCTTCATACCACTGAATTACTATAAACCAAAAAGTTATGCACTCATATTTATTAAGAAATAGTTGCTAATCAAGGCTGCTCAGAGGGCATAAAAACTAATGTTAAGTAGTTTGATGCAGAAATCCTACAAAAGTTATTTCCTTTCTCAAAGAAAGCCCCTTCCAAGTTTCTCTCCATGACTGTGTTCTAGAAAGACTGGAAGTGGCCGAAGTCTGGAGCTCAGATTAGCCAGGGGGCCTGTGAATTTCAACGTCTGTCATTCAACTGTAAGGAAAAGAAGTAACCCATGAGTAATATTATTTTTGTAACAAGCATTTTATTGTTATTTTTACTTCATTCATTCATTGTTTCATCCATTTGAGTGATGCTTTTGTTTATGTAAGTTTCTGTCATGTATCCCACACTGGTTTCAATTTGGCAATTCTACCTCAGACTTTGGAGCACGCACCACCATGCCCATCTGTATAGTATCTTAAGTCACAGATATTTTTAATAATACCTTCCCAAATTACTAAGAGGAAAAAGGTAAAATTTTCACATTTGAAAACTTACACACAGAAAAATCTTGTCCAAGCACCATTCCTTTAAAGAGAGATCAATCCAGTGAAATGCCAAAGTTTGTGTTGACACCAACTAGCTGTCAGCACTTAAAGTCATTTGATTTACCTAATCCAACTAGCACATTTTCTAGCAATTAATTCATAGCACTGGGGGGAAAAAAACTCATCAGGTATTTTGCCCTTTACTGGAAGTCAGCAAAATATTCTGTGACAAGGGTGCCATCTAGTGGTCGCTCCGTTAACCAATGGCCTGACCGACGACCATCACTACATCCATTGTATGGTTAGTTAGTTACTGCTACTATAGGCACACATTTAGAATTTTACACTAAGAGGTATCTGGGGTAGCTACTCTAAACTTCTATACTTGTTTTTTTTTCCCCTGTGGCTGTGATAAACCCTGACCAAAGTCAAAAACTTGTGGAAGAAAGGGTTTGATTTGGCTCACAATCACAGCCCATTGCTGAGGAAAGCCCGGAAGTAACTCAGGCGGAAGCAGAAATCAGAGAGGAGTTCTGTTTCCTGGCTTACTATCCAAGGCTTGCTTAGTCGGCTTTCTTATACACCCAAGGACCACCTGCCTAGCGGTGGCACTGCATTCCTGGATCCTCCCACATTCATCATTAATCAAGAAATAGCCCACAAATTTACTTGCGGGCCAATCGGATTGGGGCAGTGAAGGTTCCTGTCTGATTCGTGCTTCTGTCCATTTGACCACAAGATAAAACAAACCAACCAACAAAATCCAGCACACCTTCTTGGTTTGCACTTGAGAGAACTGAGAACTGATATGGCAAATACCCTGACTTAATGTCATGCTCCTAAAAGTTACTCCATTGATTGACTCGAAATCAAGCACATTAGATGTTTATATTTTCTTGCTCCTCACAAAAGACACACACACACACACACACACACACACACACACTTGTGCATGTATGTGTGCACGTAATTTTCAAAAACACAAATGTAATACCTGAGTTATTCTTGAATTCTCCTGATAGCTTATAAAATAGAGTTCCTGGTTCAGTAACTGAATGTGTTTTGCTACACTTTGGGTTGTGATATTTTTTCCTTAAGTATACTGTGAGCTCCCTTAAAGCACAAATTACAGAGAAGCCTGGGACAAAGTATTAGCAAATGTTTGTTGATGTAAGACCACGGCGATACCTAACTATCCAGAATAAAGACAAAGAATGTCTCGATTAAATGAAGCAAGCAACAGGAGAGAGGATCAAAGAACCGACAGAGTTCCCTGCTGCGCGATTGCTTCCCTTCAGCCAGTAGCTCATAGTCTCCCCCAAATTCGATCTACTAAAATGACAGCAATCAGGGAAGATACGTGACCTCTAGGTGAAGATTATGTTCCTAAGTCTCGTTAGCAACCAAAGTTGATAAAGGAGCACACAGTGACTATGTGCCACTTCTGAGTCTGGGACTTCAAATGTTTGGGATGTGAAATTCGACTGTGGTTTTCTGTTTCTTTGCGAGGCAAAATGCAAAGTGCCAGCAGCCAAAAGTATAGTCGCTCAGGTGACTATGCCCTTTGTGCATCGAGAAGGACCCATAGCTCCACACTTGGGGTGGGGGATAGAGAAGGCAGAGACCAGCTACTTGGTGTTTTTTTTTTTTAATGAAGTATTACTGGAGTACTGTTGTATTCAGTTTACTTTCCCGGTTGTAGCGGTCTGTGCACTGCAGCAGCTGAGTTCTTATAGTAGCCTGTGTTATCCTGGAACTCTACAATATTTATTTATCACTCTCAGAAAGGACTTGCCAACCCCTTCACCCTGAAGTACATAGAAGGTGGCACAGGAACAAGAGGAAATCATGTTGCTAAAGCCATCATTTTCGTTAATGATAAGAAAAAACCTAGACGTCCATGCTAATCTATTCTATTTAGAAACCCCTTTCCTGTGCCAAGTAAGGCTTTGCCTGTTATATTTTATTTGGATTTCTGTGTGCCTTTTAACTCTTTGCCTAGGCGTTATTGGTGGGGGGCGAGGCAGGGAAGGGAGAGAAAGCAAGAATGTAGATCCACTAGTGTTGTTGGGGTTAGGGTAAATTTCACCAGCAGAGGGCTCCACTTGAGCTTTAATTTGCCTCCCATTAACAAATTTCACCAACAACCTGCATCCTGGATAAACATCATTGTTTCCACCGTAGTTCCACTGTCAACTTTGCCAAGATTAGTTCTCAAGGGTACAAATAATTAAAGGTGATCCAAAGTCAGCGTGGATGAGAGGGGTGGGGTGGGATGTGAAAGTTAATTCAGGCGTGCGTTTGACTAGGGAAGGGAACCCCGTACTATGGGGGTGCTCCCCTCTGGACCCCAGATTGGTCACAGACCACTCCCAAACACAGATTCCAAAGCTCAAACTCAATGCAAAAAGATCCTTTGTTAAGTAAAGCAGAGAGACCAGGTGGCTGAATCAGACCCAGGCAGAAACAGCTGCCAATAGTTTTGCAAAAGATGTGGAAAGAAGACAAAGGGGGAAGTCTGTGTTAAAGTGAATTAGGACGCATTGGTAAGTTATGATTGAATATTTTAATTAGGTTAGTCAAAATAATTAATTTTGATTGCTGGATCTTGATGTTTTGATAGTTGGACCTCTGTGATCAATCTCAGGAAGTGGCCATATAAGGGAATAGGCCTTGGTGGCTGGCTTTGGGAATGCAATTTATTGATTTAGCAAGGGGCAGAAGGGTAAAAGGCAAAACCCACTGGTGCCATGTTTGCCATGTTTAGGTCTATTTGCCATACTCGGGCCTGCTAGAGCCTTCAACTGTGCCTTAAATTCTCCGAAATTTCATCAACCATTTTTCAGGGTGTTCTTGCTTCTAGATGACAGCAGGTAGGTAAAGGAATGGAAATTGCCTCCCCTAATGTGGATGGGCTTCATCCAATCAATGGAAGATTCCTAGTGGGGGAAAAAAAAAAGGCTGATCACTAGGCAGGGGGTATAGGCAGGACTTCTGGGCAGAGAGAGAGAAACTGGGAGGGGGAATCCAGGCACACAATTTCACCAGCAGACTCAGAGCAAGTCAGATGTAACCAAGCCACATGGCAGAACATAGATTGAAAAATTATTAATTAATTAAGTTATAAAAGCTAGCTGGGGAAAAGCCTAAACTAAGGCTAAACTTTCATAATTAGTAATGTCTCTGGGGCATTACTTCAGGCTGATGGTCCAAAGTCTGACAAGAATGCTTGCTACACCAATTCCTTATATTAATCTCTCTCCATACATGCCATATATTACATGTAATACATAATATATTACATTAGTGTAAACTTTTAACTATATATGCATGCATGATATATAAGTGCACATAATTATATATGTCTGATATATGCATTATATGTTCACAAAAAATACAGCTCCTATCTCAAAGAGGATTAAAGTTATTCTGAATGTGTGACTGTGGCTCAGAAACAATGACTGAAGATACCCTAAAGATCATGTTTTGAAGTTCTTAACAGGACGGTTTCATGAAGATTTTATAAAAGAACAAAGAAAATCATAAATCAAAATACTTCAAAATGTGTTGGTGGAAGCATCAGTTAGACTGGACACCACCAGACTGCTGAATCTCTACTGCAGACCCAGACGTCATCTGATGGCATTCTTCAGCTTTGGGCTCGGTCTGTTTCTACACTGCAAAAACAGACAGACAGACGAACAAACAAACCATTTTACCTGAAAGCCACAAAGATGTACAGGACAGATAATTGTTCAACAGATGCTTATCCAGAAGCTAAAGACAGCCCTAGATAATTCAGCTCTGGTCCTGCAGCATTCCAGTGTTCTGAAATTACCAAGTTTGCAGAAATCATCGAGCCTTGAAGGGTGTTTAACACATAGAGCCTGAGGAACTCTCCCTTAAGCTCAGTTTTGTAGTAGACCACCTGCCGTCTCCTCTCCTTGCTCTCTGTGCCCACTCCCAGGGATCTAAGCAATTCCTCTTCCAGAGCTTTCTTCCTCACCCTTTATCTCAACTTCCTACAGGCCAGACACTGCCTCAGGAAAACTCTCAGGTCACGCTAGCCAGGGAATCAGGCCCTCCTGGAAGACTCAGTTTTCTGCCCTCATGTAACCTCTAACCCTCCTGCTTTCCAGCTCAATCTCCATTCCTAAGCATCAGCTCCCAATACCTAGAAACAAGTTCTACCTGGGATTCCCAGTGGTCACACTTGGCAAGGACTGAGAGGCAGTCCCTACCAGGTAACCTGCAGAAACCACACACTCCTAAGATCCAGCAAGGACAACAGAAACCAAGGACTGGAGAACCCACCGTGCAAAGAAAGACCAGATATCAACATCAAGAATTACAATCACCCCAAACCCAGATGCCTAGACATCAGACATAAATCTACACACCAATGTGCAATGAATGGTCTGTCCTGTCTCTTTAAGACACAGGCCACGCCCACTCCCTCCCAGTCTGCTGAGGCAGGCTGATCTTCAGCTTCTAGCCTGAGTTCCTTCCTTTTCCAACTTCCTCTCGAAGAGGCAACTTCTGTCTCTCCCTTCTCTCTCTGTCTCTGTCTCTCTGTCTCTCTCCACCTCTGCTCTTCTCCTCTTCCCTTCCACAACTCACTAAATAAATATCTAACCTCACCCTGCATGATGTGCCTATCCATGTCTCTGTCTCCTGCCTGCCGCTCTGTGACTCCCTGATGGGAACCAGCCGCCTTCAGAGACCTGTGGCATGGTCTCCTGGGGTGCCCATATGTCTGTCTCTCATAGTGGCCTGCTGCAGACACTTGGGGAACTGCACCGTCCCTGCCTAGGACTAGCTGCTCTCAGGTATATTTAGTCCCTTTTTACCAGCCAGTTTTGCTTACATCTGACTTAACATTTTTATGACTTTTGGATAGCATTATTGGACGTGTCTCTAAGTTTGATGATTAGCATTCACAAGCCCTAAAAGGAAGCATGTAAACCCTACCAATCCCCTGCCTTGCTGCAGTCTGTTCACCTGATGATCCCCTGGGCAGCTAGGAATAGAGATTGTTCATGACTTTCTTTCCTTGCCTAACACACATAGGTCCCCGGGTTTCATTCCCAACATGAAATAAAGATAAAAGTCATGTAACTTTCCCATGGTAGGACATTTCATTAGGTGTAATTTTCACCCACTTTCTCAGGCCATTTTGCATCGTTGCCATTGATGTAAAATGAATTATCTCATTTCCTTAAAATAGTTGTTTTAGGACAACATTAATAACTCACTTATTTGGTGGCTGGAGCCATGGCTCAGCAGTTCAGAGTACTGGCTACTCTTCGAGAGGAACCAGGTTTGAAGCCCAGCACTTACATGACAGCTCAAAACTGTCTAACTCTAATTCTTGGGGATCCAACCCTCTCTTTTGGCCCCCACATATACAGGCAAAACAGCAATGTACATAAAATTAAGAAAAAATTAAAGACTTTAAAAAAATCACTCATGTATTTGTATGTGAATTACAACACCATTTACATCTTCATTGACAACTAAGAGTGATTCTAAGGACATGAGTAAGTACTCAGAGTCAGTGTGGGTGCAGGCCGATTTGCTAGGAGAGAAAATGATCTGACCATGCAGAGAAAACTGGGTCTTTCTTTACTGGCAATCGCTCAGGGCATTTCTAGTACAGTCTTCCTTTGATGATGCCCAAAGGTTGCACATCTGGAAGTTAGTCCTTTACACTATATTCTCAGCTGTGAGTCACTTTTGGCAAAGGTAGCCTTCTGAAAAATGAGAAGAGGGACAAACGCAGGATTTTACAAATTTACAGCAATCGGAGGATAGTATGTTCCCTGGAAATGAGAAGCTACTCATTGAAAAGTGATTCAGGAAGTATTTGTCCTAGGCAAGTGGATCTCTGTGAGTTTGAGGTCAGCCTTGTCTACATAGTTCCAGGACAGCTGGGCTACATAGTGAGACCCTGCCTCCCCCACCCTCCTCCGCCAAATGTAGTGGTGATGGTTTAGGGTGGACATGGTGGCAAACGCCTTTAATCCCAGAATTAGGGTGGCTATCGCAGTAGGCTCCCAGATCCGTCAGTTCTATATTGCAAGTTCGAGGCTATCCCTGATTAAATAACGAGACAAACAACAAACCAAGTAGGGGTTGCTATTAGGACAAGCGGTCCAACTAAAGTACAGATGCTTAAATAAGAGGAAGCTAATCTCGAGCCTCCCCGAGATACAAATGACTTTCGTGTGGATCAGAAGTTATTTCCCGAAATAAAATGCTGACTGTATTTGTGTGCACTGAGGAATGACTGAGGAATGGTGCTTGTCCTCCAAACCAAATCGGTCCCGTTCCCATGAGGAAGACTTGAGTCACCGCTTCAGACTGTCCTTGTCACCCAACAGGCCATGAAGAGTGCATCTGAAATAAACCAAAGCGCCAGAGACCACATCCAGTTTGCCCGTTACTTCCGGGAAACTCAGTCCAAGCCGCTCGTTTTCGCTACGGTGGCCGCTAAGGCCCTAGAGGTGACAGACAGTCAGACGAACAGGAGGGCGCTTGCGCGCTTCGCTTCAAAGTCTAGAACTGGTAAAGGGATTTCCTAGAAAGGCTCGTCACTCCTCCAGCTATCCTATTGGCTGAGAAAAGGGAGAGCCCGCCTCTGTGAGTGTCCCATTGGCCGCACGCCCAAGGCAGCAGGACGGGGCCTGGCGCCCCATTGCATCAGCTGGTTCCGGCTAGGCCACGTGGCGCACGCGCAGTGTGGAATTGCTGGTCCTCTCCGCCGGCTTAGGCTCTTTTCTGGGGTCTAGCTCTCGTGTTTTGTCTCTCAGCGGTTCTTCCATGTCGGAGGAGAAGGTCAGCAGCCCTTCGGGGAAGATGGACGGCGAGAAGCCGGTGAGCAGGCGCGGTGGATGGGCGTGTCTTGGGAGCCGACACTGCCCGGCGGGAAAGTAGCAAGGACCTGCCGGTATTGGGGGTTCCAGCAGGCAGGAGCGGTCCGGGGGTCATCCTCGTCCCAGAGATCTGTGAACTGAGACTGAGTGGCTTGCTCAGAGCTAGACAGTGACCAGGCGGGGCTTGGGCTCCCACGCTTGTATTTTTATGCTTTTAAATAGGCGGAAAGAACATTGCAGAACTTTGAAAAAAATCGTCATCTTTGTGGAGCAGAAAGCTCTAGTTTAGGAAGGAAAAGCCAGTCCCCGAGATCAGATCCAGTTTGCCAAGGATTGGATGCTTTATGATATGCAAATGGTGAAGGCTGGATGGCTCCATTTGACAGACTGCTTGGAAATTAGTCCGGGGCAGGAAGCGTCCTAGATAACTTCACACACGTTCCCCCTTAGAGGCAACAAATGTCCGGTGTATTTATTTGTCCTGGCACTTAGCCAGACAGCGCAGGTGGCAACACGAGTAAGAACGATTTCAGACGGGGGGGTGGAGTGTCCCCAAAAGCCTAGAACACAAGACTGGAAAATCGAAGTTTTGTATCATCAGCTTAGTTGAGTTATAGGTGAAGCTCCGAACGTGCTACCGTCAAACTGTTTTATTGGTTTTGAAAAAAATGAGGTCAGGTAAACCAGGCAGGGCAGGGCTGTCCAGGTACAGAGAGGGTGAGTTGTGTCTCAGCTATATTGGAAGAGACAGGAAATACAACAGTCCAAGATATCAGTGTTCTTCACGTGCAGGATTTTAAGCAGGGATTGTATTGTCAAAACTGACCTGGCACTGGGGTTTGAGGAGAGGGGAGGCCATGTAGCAGGCTGTTTCAATAGTCCAGGGGAGCTCTGCTAAAGTCCTCGTCAAGAGGAGTGTCCGTCCTGATTGGACAGGTCACTAAAATACTTATGTATGCATTCTAAACTACAAATTTAAGTATTGAGTAATGACTACACATAGATTTTATTTCTATTTCTGTGTTGTTTCCTTTAAAAAATTGTGTTTTACCATTTCAGCTTGGTTACCCCTCTGCTTCTTTCCCGACTGTCCTTCCATCCTACTCTTAAACCAACCCCTGTTAGGTCAGGGCCTCCCGGGTTCTTAAGATTAATGTAAGGCTAGACGTTAGCCAAGATAGTCGCCCCTGAGCAGGCTGTCAGTAAAACATTAGATGAAGATTTGGTGAATGAACGACTTGGAGTGTAAAATGTGATATTGTTGCCTCTGTAATAATCAGGTATCGTAAATTGTGGAAAGCTGACTCAGTGGGATACAGACCTAACCCCACAAGTCCTTTTGTCCCGAGCCCCACAGGCTAAAACCTTTATTCCTTTCACATTTCGTCTTCACAACAAGGTTGTTGTGAAGGACATAATTACACCCAGTTCACAAGACGGAAAACAGCCTAGAAGGAGTGAATGTAGTGTGTGGTCACCCAGTCCACTTAGCTCCCTTGGAGGTAGCTTATGGGCCATTAGGTAGGGAGGGAGATAATTACCCCCCAACACACTCACACCTAAGTGACTCTTACTGAATAGGTTCTTTCTTGTTGCTCTGTGTTTCATACAGGTCTGAGTCTGAAGGGGAAAGTTATAGGAGCATTGAGAACGTGTACATTGATAAATGGCCTTCTACTTTTTTAGGGCTTGTTTTTGTTGCAACTTGTCTAACTTGTCTTTACCAGAGAAGGAATTTCCAATCTTTCAAAATAAGATTGTGTTTTTTTAAAAAAATCTTTTTAGGTATAACTTTTTTAGCTGCAATTTTGGAAAATATGTCAAATAGAGCTGAAAGATGAGAACCTCTCTTCTGTTCTGCTTCTTTAGGTGGATGCCAGTGAGGAGAAGCGAAAGGAAGGAGGCAAGAAGAAGAACAAAGATGGAGGCGGAGACGGAGGTCGAGCGGAGGTAATATAAGTGATCCTGCCATTGCTTGGGTTTCAAAGGCTGGTGGGGAACAGGGAACTGTCCCAGACTTACCCTCCATGAGGAGTGTGTGTGTGTGTGTGTGTGTGTGTGTGTGTGTATACATGAGTATCCATAGCGTGTCACACATGTGGAAGCCAGGGAACAACTTGCAGGCATTCCTTCTCCACTTTTCCTCCTGGGGATGGAGTTCAGATGTTAGGCCTGGTGGCCCCTGTGTAAAGATTCTAATGGTCACTGAAGGTGGTGTGGTAGCACAGGTTGGAAAACCTAGGGAGAAGATTAAAAAGGAGCCCATGGGGGAAGAAGGGTTTGCAGGCAGTTGACAGTGCAGAGGGCCAAGTGTATTGTAAGATGACCTCACAGTGGATTTTCACAGAATCACAAGGATAGAAGTAGAGGAAGGGCTGCGGTTGTCACTGGGCTGCCAAGACTCGATGCTGACTTCTCTTTCTTTAAACGATGTGTTAAGGGGTAGGGGCTCTGTGCTGGGTTTCTATAAGCACATACGGAACCAAACAGAATCCTGTTCCTTGATTTCTTTCTTGTTGCTTGTTGCATCTGGGGTCTGGTTTACTTACATCCGGAGAATTATTCAGTTCCTAAGCTCAGTGACATAGAACTGCAGTTCAAAGCCATCCCAGAATGCACTTGGTTCCTGGTGCTTGAGGAGGCGGTTCTGCGTGTTGTTCTGCTGGTTTTGAGTTTGAACTCCTGTAAACTGTGCTTTGCTGTTTTGCATTTAGTCACTGCAGTTTTATTGGAGACCTTGGAAAACTGCTGGGATGTAGGAACACAAAAGACTAAGCTTTTCTGAAGTAACTCAATAAATGGACTTTAAAGAGCTAGGTATAAAGCTGGAATAGCGATGAACACACTTCCTTAGTCCTGGCGTTTCGGATCTAGAGGAGGAGAATTGAGTTCTAGACCAACCTAGTATGCACAGTGAGACCTGTCTTAGAAAAACAAAACACAAACCCTGCTTGTGTAATGCTGATTAAGCTTAGAACCATTTCTGTTCGTAAAGGTTTTGCAGGTGATGTCAGATGTTATTGCCTGTGTTCATCCAATCCCTGCTCATTTTATGCCAGTGTCATTGTGGGAGGAATCGCTGATAGTGAACCTTAAGATTTGCAGGGAAAGAGTTATATGCTTGTCTCTTCATTTCCTTGTTGTACTTTGGATGGAATTGTGTGACAAGTATTAGTGATTACTTAACCACTTCGTTTGTTTGTTTACAGTTGAATCCTTGGCCGGAATATATTAACACGCGCCTTGATATGTATAATAAGCTAAAAGCAGAGCATGATTCTCTCCTGGCTGAGAAGGCAGCAAACGATAGCAAGCCAATTAAAGTCACTCTGCCCGATGGCAAGCAGGTGGACGCAGAGTCCTGGAAAACCACACCGTACCAGATTGCATGTGGAATTAGGTAAGCAGTACACCTCCTTTGACCTTCCACGGTTTATAATGTAACTAAGTGTTCATTTGTTGTCTCGCCAGGTATATCCTGATAATATTCTTACGTTTCTGCTCAAGGCGTGAGCAGAATTTACTTATTGAGATCTTTGAAAATCAAGGGGATGTAAGCTTTGTAGTCAAGACTCAGTGTTAGTTTCTGAAGGCTTAGGAAGCCACATATTAGTTTTTCTGTTAGGATTGTAAAGCTGCAGGAGCAGAACAGTGTTCAGCTTTTACTTAAGTGTCTCAGTTTTGAGCTTATTTATGAAAGTAGGTCACATAACAGGGAAAGTTAAAAAAAACCTGGTATATCATGTATGAAAAAAAATATGTTCTGTGTTTATAAATTCAACCAAAAAAAGCTATATATAGTTAGTCTTGAAGCCGATTGGATTATAAGAAATTATGAATAACAGTTTTTTTACATACTTTGTGACAGGAAAAGCTTTCTTAATGTTATTAATCTTATTTTTTAATGATTTATGTATTTACTTTATTTATTTTACTCATGTTTTGCCTGCATGCATGTCTGTGTGAAGGTGTCAGATTCCCTGAAATTGGAGTTACAGGCTGTTATGAGCCGCCATGTGGGTGCTGGGAATTGAGCCCTGGTCCTCCGGAAGAGCGCTGGCTGCCATCTCTCCAGCCCCAACTTTCTTATTCTTGATCAGATTGATAGGTGATCACTTTTTCTGGACAGGGTCAAACGTCACACACCTTAGACCAGTTGTCAGCAAACTACGATGACAGCCAGAAGCCTTACATTTAAATGGTTGGAATAAAGCAAGACAGCTAAGAAGAATGCATACTATCAAGCTCATGTGGCCCTCACAACATAGGGTTGTAGTCTGTCTTAAATTTGACACAGACTGACTTGAAATATGTAAAAAAAATACTAGTGGCTAATTTTCTGTTTGTAGAGCCGTGGCTTGGGGGTGCTGTGCTGTATTTAATACCTACATCACCTGCGTAGCTTGAGAAGCAAGTGTTTAATGTAGATGCCTCTATTTCTGCATCATTGTTTCATTCTCTCCGAAAACCAGTAGTTTTTAATAACTAGTCTTGTCAGATGAGCACCTGGTTTGTTTCTGTTTGAAGTCAGGGCCTGGCCGACAACACAGTTGTCGCTAAAGTGAACAAAGT